AGTTCTAATCAGACCATGTGGTGGTCTGGGAACCTCAGTCCAGCTGAGATAGGATAAATGCAATATTCTTTGCAATTTACTTTAGGTAATATTAAGAGTCTAAGCTTGTAGTGAATGCACAGGATCTAATCTCTCTTGGGGCCTTGTACCTTCCTTAGATATTAAGAACATTATTTTACATTCAACACCTTAACTCATGAACAATTTCACCATTTGTGACATCTTATCTCGCTTTCCAATCTTCTTTTTATTTGCTAAACTAGTGGAGTGTATCAGTGGAGCGATCGAGTCGTGCGACTTGTCACAAGGAACTGGCTCAGTGCATTGGGAAATTTTAACAAAACAACCCACATTGTTGTGACGCCCAAAGTGCTAGTAAGTTAGCAGCAATCACATTTAAATAAGTCAACATGAATTCTGAATTTCTCTATTTTAACATGGCAAACCAGTTGGAAATCATCCCATAGCTTCATATGGCCAGCCGACGGTTCGCCTGTAACTCTATCAATCCGTTCAATTTTGAGAAAACGTTTGCTTGAGCACTCGTTTCACTAAAGGAGTTTTCCGGTTTCACCACTTCGCTACTGACCAGCTTACTCACATACGTATCTGAGTCTTATCTAACTTTCACCGAATCATAATGTCGTGCACTTATCCACTTACATGTTCTCTAATTAAAGAACTGGCTTAATTGCTCTATGACTCATCTGCCCCATAATTCATTCACTATCTCAATTACCTCCACTACTACTTACATGCTCCTTCAGTAATTCATCCAGACACTCAAAAGATCAAGTGATGTGGCCTTTTGTGTGATCGCAGTCTCCTTTCGTTGTATAGAGGTTGTTTCACCTTGTTTTCGCAACTTTGTCATATTGGTAGGAAGACTTAGAGGAACGCACCTAGTCCTGAGTCAATTGTATGGATGATCATTTCCAAAGTCAGACCATGGACGTGGTACATTCCCAGACGTTCCGCCGGCATCGTAGTCGGCATCGTCAATGAGGATGGGTAATATCGTCTCGAGTAGCACAGGTCGGGGGAATGGGTTGAGTGTAATACTTGGACCAGGGAGATAGCAGACGGATCCTAAGGGGCAAAAGGGAAGCTCTGATAAGACCTAGGGAAGGACGACTGCGTAACTTTATGGCAGACTCTGATCAAAATTCCCAGCATAAAGGTGAAGGGGGGGGTGAGAATGCCTGCGTGGAGTGGGAAGGGTTTTCATGAATGCCGCTTAAAGGAGCACAACTTACTACATAAGCACGGAAAAATTGTAATAGTCAAGGCGTGATACGAGGATATAGGAAATGTGAATAGCCCATAGGAGAATGAGAGATACCACAACTATTTATCACACGTTTGGTCTAAGGATTGGCTTCACTTGTCACTTTGATGAGTTGTAGTATGGTGCTAAGAGTGGCAAGACTCACTGACGATGCCGAACACGATGACGGTGAGAAGAAAATATGTTGGAGGCAGAACGGATACGGAAGGAATCGTTAACACGACTGATCAACCTGACAGTAAGGACCACATTTAACGGCAGTATCTACGAGCAAATATTTGGACTACCGATGGAACCTCCACTATTTCTTTTGGAAAATTTGTACATGGACAAGTCGCAAACGGAATTCGAGAAGTCACTACTGCAACCAAGAGTTCTTATACGATATTTGGATGACTACTTTGCACTTTGGTCACATGGTAAGGAAGATTTGGATGAATTCCTCAATTTCATTAACCAACTTGATGAAAGGATAAAATTCACAATGGAGGTGGAGGAGGACGAACGACCACACTTTTTGGATATTGAAGTCATGCGCTCCAAAGGGTCACTCCTGAGGAGACTATACAGAAGAATCCATATGCAGGAATAATCCTTTATTTTCAGTCTCACCATAACTGCAGACTGAAGATCGGAATACTGAGGATTTTGATCATCAGAAATAGGGACTTAAATAAGATAGGAATTAGCAAAAACTTTGCATATTGCCTGAACACACTCTAAGAAGCAGTAAGAGGAGGAAACAGTAAGATCAGCAAAAAGAAGAAGACTGGATCAGGGTAACATCTTTAACTTCAGGAAAATAAATCGCAAGGGGACCAGAAAGGAACAATCAGAAGCCAAGAGGAGACGTCTTCAATGAGCCTATTCAGAACAACTAGAACCACAACATTTGTGGGTTGTCACACAATAGACTAGGACATAAGAAGTGATAAACAGAAATAGGATAGACGCGGTGGAGTCTAGAGCTATTTGCCTAACAATAGATGTGATCCATAAAGCACGTCTATTTTTAGTCGACTAGCCGTATCTATCCTGTTTATATCCGTAATACCAAGTCTATGACTTACTATGCCCTAGTCTCTTGTATGTCAACCCACAAATGTTGTGGTTCAACATTGAAATAAATCAAAGCAAGCAGTACCACAACATTTGTGTCTTGGCACACAGGAGACTAGAGCATAGCAAGTCATAGACTTGGTATTAGGGATAAAAATAGTATAGATACGGCATATACTGGAGCTAGTTGGTTGACAGTAGGCCTGTTTTACCAGAGATGTGGTCCATGTAGCGAAGGCTTGACGATGAGACTTACTCAGAGGCTTTAACTTCGAATTAGTCACTCAGACGCAGGGGATGGGTAATAACCCCTTAAGTAGCACAGATGATGTGTCAGGGGTCGGGTGTAAAACTTGAACCAGGGTGTTAGAAGACGAATTTTACGGGACGAGAGGCAGACTCTGATAAGAGCTAGGGAAGGAGGACTGCGTAGTAATATAGCAGACTCCGATCGACATTCCCAGCACAAGGGTGAAGGGGGGGGGTGAGAATGCCAGCATGGAGTGTGGAGGGTTCTCATGAATGCCGTTAAAAAGGGCACACCACGCTACAACGAAATAAGCACAGTAAAAATTGTAACAGTGAAAGCGTGATACGGGGATAGAGGAAATGTGAATAACCCAGAGCAGAACGGGAGATACCACAACTGTTCAGCACACATTTGGTCAATGGATCGGCTTCACTTGTCTCTTTGACTAGTTGTTGTGTGGTGCTACAAATGACAAGACTCAATGACGATGCCGAATACGATGCCGGCGAAACGTCTGGGAATGTACCACGTCCACGGTCCGACTTTAGACACGATCATGCATACAATGGACTCCGGACTAGGTGCGTTCCTGTAAGTCTTGCTACCAATATGACCAAGTTGTGAATACAAGGTCAAACAATCTTAATGCATATCATTGTTCAAAAGATCATCTACTAATTTTGTCTCTAATGCATCCATTCCGTAACTCAATCACTCAATTAAGCCTTTTTTAGCAAATTCAGCCACAAAGCAAATAACTCACAAACCCAATCACTTACCTTCTTACCCACCCAAACATGCATGCATTGAATTGCTCATTTCTGAATCATTTATCCGGTATTCCATTTACCCAATCTCCTATTCAATAAAGCTTTTGATCATTTATTCACTCCTATTATGTCATCAATTACCACTCGATAAGCATTCACACAATCGTTTCTTCCCAATACACCCTATCACTAAAGAATTTAGTCAATGCCTTTAACTATGATTACTATTCTTACTTAAATCATCACATGCCTATTCATTTATTTGTTCATATCTTCTCTTTATCAACCATCCATTTAATTAA